CTGAAAGACAACAGTAAGGAGGAGCCAAGAAGTAGCAGTAGAAAGGCTGCAGAAAGAGCCAGGAGCCTAGAGGAGGGGGGGGGAGGGGGGGGGGCAGAACGTGGAAACGAAAGCAAGCGACAGAGCATTATTAGAGAGCATGAAAGGAGGTGATAGGAGAACGTACTGTAATTTTAGAGAAGAAAATATTCCGTCGCTGTCAGATTTCGAACCCGGGACCTATCGAATGAGAGGCGAACACTGTAACATCTAGACTACGAGACCTCCTGATGAACAGTGACATCTGACCTAGCTTATTTTGGCTGGCTTTGTTTGGTAATAATGTAATCTTTTTTAACTTTTAATTAAGCGATGCTCCCTTTAACAAATAGGACCCCCAGATATGATCCGAGGTTCTGGCGGTCAATTCATGTATTATTTAGACCCCTTCACGAGAGAGCAGATAACTCTGTATTATGTCTAATTACGATGTAATACAAACACACACACACACACACACATACAAACAAACACACGCACTCACGCCCGCGCGCGCGCACACGCGTACTCACTCACGCACTGCCCCATTCACTAACTCACACTTTCCATCTCAACGCGTATGCATTTACTTCATTCTGATAGTAAGAGCGAAGGATGCAATGGTTTGAGTTGAAGGCGAGCGAGTTAGAAATAATATGTTTAATGAAACAAACCTTGTCTTTTTTACACTGAACGTACAAAATTATGTTATATAAGATTAGGCCATTTTCTTTCTCTTAATCCAGTTTTTGCATTTGACACTGGATCCCCCTATCTTTTTTTCCTCACATAGCCCACAGAGACACATACATTCGTACATACACATGCATTGGCACACATACACACACACACACACACACACACACACACACACACACACACACACACACACACACACACACAAAGACAACCACACAGACCAGATTCAAAAGGCTGTTTCCGTCAGCTTTCATAAGGAGATCTTGTCATCCCACACCGTGTGTAAAACGCAATTTGCGTTGTGCCTGCGTATCTGACACACATAAAGTTGGCTGAAACTTGACACATTACTAATAATTACCAATGCTACACTGCTGTCGTCATTCCTTGTCGGGGGAGTCATTTCCGGAACTGACGTTGCCTCTGGAGAAAGGTCATGCCATTTCAGGAAGGCATTTGAGCTTGCGCTGTCACGTGATTAATAACTCAGTGGAATAAGAGAGGGATTGGAAAGAGGGATGAAAAGGGGATGGGCTATTGCAGCACAGAGGAAATTATACAAGGCTAGACGAGTGTTTCCACTCGAATTTCCTGCCGGCCTCATCCACCATTATTAATCATTTACGGTTAACTTATAAGTGGATGTTAGGAACTCAAAGAAACTCTTTTTTTAGGAAGTGTGAGCAGTCTTTTAGACTGATTGTTTTTTTCTTTTTAACTTGTTCTTTGGATGGGTTTGACTCCTTCACCACCTGGCCCGGGACTGCCTCCGACTAAAAGTCGACACGAATTCATGTGTAATATTACACATTTTTATTGCTTGTCGTTAAAGTTCTATGTAGCTTAATATCATTTCGTGGAAGGGGAGAGGTGATTGCGACATACTCCTTCACCCGAACAAAAACAACGTTCACATACTACGCAGCCCCCCTCCCCCAGTCTCTCTTCCCTTTTCCCCCATCCCTTTTCCCATCCCTTTTTCTATTCCTTTTCCCTTCCTATTCCCCCATCCCATCTCTCTTCATTCCTCCATCGACGCTATCAAACCACTTACCTCAAACAAAAAAGTAGCCTTCAATAAATTATTATGTCGTATAAACTAGGATTTCTGAAATGCAAGAATGCGCTTTTACTCTTAGACCTGCTCCATAACTAAATTCTCGGACCTGGCAGTGAAGTGGTTAAAGCTATATTTAGCACAGTGCCAGATAGGTTATTTGTGAGATAAATGTGGAGTTTCAGAAGGTAATCTTTCTGGCTAGATAGAACTTTGGTCGAAAGAAGGTTGCAAATGTGAGATTGACCGAATATCCCTAATTAGTAATAATACATGGAAGACTGATATAAAAAATGTTTTTTGGGTAGAATCTAGATCTAAGTGTTTTACGGCGCTGGCAACTCCATAAAGGTCATATGAGCTTGCGGGACACGTTAAACATTTTCAGTCAGTAGGAAATTTCGAATTTTTCCTGGGTGGCCCCCCGAAGCCTACTCTAATCGATTTTGGGCCATCAAAGGATCTTTAACGTGCGCAACTTGTACAAGGGGCCTCCGAGATTTTTAACTCTTATCCGAGAAGGAGGGCCTATTAGATGTAGATCTTACCTATCATAAGATCAGGGATATGGCTGAATGAAATACAGCAGTAAGAAGGAGCCAAGGGGTAGCAGTAGAAAGGCTGCAGAAAAAATCATGAGCCCAGAGAAAGGGACAACGGAGGTTAGGGGGTGGGGTTGAAATGGGAGACGAAAGCAGACGACAGAACATTGTTAGACAGCAGGAAAGGAATTGAAAAGAGAAAAACTTTTAGAGAAGAAAACTGTTTCCTTCGCTATCTGGATTCGAACCCGGGACCTATTGAATGAGAGGCGAACACCTTAACCGGCCACGAGAACCCCCGGACTGGTTTTGCTGCTGCATCATATTCAGAGAGGTTGTGGCATACAGGGGCAACCCACAGGAATGGGGAGGGATGGGGTGGGGGGCTGCGCCCTTTTTTGCTAAGACAACAGAGTTTTTTGCACTTCTGGACCGTTGTGGAGTGTTAGGTCCTGTACAATTGCAATAATGACTCTCCTCCACACTTTAGAGAAACCGAAATCCCTATGAAATTGTTCAAATCCATTTTATCCAGGCTTAACTTGTTTGTTTGTTTGGGGTTTTTGTTGGGGTTTTTGTTGTTGTTGGGGGGGGGGTTTTGTTTGTTTTTTTTG